TCCTTGTTACCCTGGGGTGCGCTAGGGGGAACAGGGTCTCTCCCAAACCCTGCTGGTCCCCCCTAGTGAGTTTATAGATGGCCACCAGGTCCCCCCTCAGCCTTCTCTTGCAAAGGTTGAACAGGTTAAGGTCCCATAGCCTCTCTCTTCATGGGGTCTGCCCTGCTGTCCCCAGATCATGTGGGTGGCCCTCCTCTGGACCCTCTCAATGCTGTCCACATCCCTCTTGAAGTGCAGTGCCCAGAACTGAATGCAGTACTCCAGCTGTGGCCTGACCAGTGTCACATAGAGGGGGAGGATCACCTCCTTGGCCCTGCTTGAGATGCATCTGTGGATGCACGACAAGGTACGGTTAGCCCTGCTGACCGTGACCTCGCGTTGTCAGCCCATGTTCATCTTGGAGTCAGTAATGACTCCAAGATCTCTTTCTGCCACCGTGCTCTCGAGAAGGGAGTTTCCCAGCTTATAAGTGTGCTGCTGGTTCCTACTGCCCAAGTGCAGCACCCTGCACTTGTTTGTATTGAATCCCATCCTATTTTCGTTAGCCCACCCCTGTAACCTGTCCAGGTCCTACTGTAATCTGTTCTTCCCTACTAGCGTGCTCACCTCACCTCATATGTTGGTATCATCAGCAAATTTAAACAGACTGCTTTTTACCTCGTCGTCCAAGTCACTAATAAGTTGAACAGTGCAGGCCCAAGGACCGAGCCCTGGGGGACTCCACTGCCCACTTCCCTCAAGGTCGAAAAGGACCCGTCCACCACTACCCTCTGAGTACAACCCTTCAGCCAATTTGCAGTTGATCTGACTGTGTAGGCATCAATGCCACAGTTCACCTACTTTTTTGATGAGAATGGGGTGGGAGACAGCGTCAAAGGCCTTGCTGAAGTCGAGAAAGACTACATCCACCATGACACCTGCGTCCAATGCTTTTGTGACCTGACTGTAGAAGGCAATCAGGTTGGTCTGACAGGACCTGCCCCTAATGAAACCATGCTGGTTGCCCTTGAGCATCATCCCTGCTGCTGGCCCATCACAGATGTGCTCCTTGATGATCTTCTCAAAGAGTTTCCCCAGGATTGAAGTAAGACTAATGGGCCTGTAATTGCGTGGGTCCTCCCTCTTCCCTTTTCTGAAGATGGGGACCACATTGGCTTTCTTCCAGTCATCTGGCACCTGGACAGAGCACCACGAGTGCCCGTAAAGCCATGTCAGGGGCCCCGTGATACCCCCTGCCAATTCCCTCAACACTCTGGGGTGGAGAGCATCTGGACCTGCTGATTTGAACACGTCTAGCCCCTCCAGAAGCTCTCTAACCCAGTTCTCCCTGACCTTAGGGCTGGCGGCATTTCTCCTGAGTCCGTCTGGAATCTTGGTTGGGGAGTTCTGGTCCCTGCACAAGAAAATGGAGGCAAAGATTTTGCTAAAGAAGTCTGCTTTCTCCTTTGGTGCAACCACCAGATTTCCAAGCATATCCTGCAGGGGCTCCACATTACCCGGTGCCTTCTTCATTCTCCCTATATATTTAAAAAAAGGACTTTTTATTATCTTTGATCCTTGATGCTAGCCCTAGCTCTGTATCTGCCTTAGCTTTTCTAACAGCCCCCCTACAGACCCGAGCAGTGGAGGTATACTCCTCTTTGGTGATAGCCCCTCCCTTCCACCAGGTGTACGCCTCCTTTTTGGCAATCAGGCATTCGTGAATGCCCTTGGGGAGCCAGCGGGGCTTTTGGGCACTCTTGCCCCCCTTGCTTCTTGTTGGTATTGTCACCCCTTGGGCTCTGAGTATTGTCTCCTTAAGGAACAACCACTCATCTTGGGCACTGTTCCCTCAGCCCAGTTCCCTCAGCCTCTCCTCAGAAGTCATGTGCCCCAGCCCCCTAAACATCTTTATTGCCCTCCACTGGACTCTCTTCAACTTGTCCACATCCTTTTGGTAGTGGGGGGCCCAATAACGGACACAGTACTCTGCATGTGGCTCACTAGTGCAGAGTAGAGGGGAATAATTACTTCCCTCAGTCTGCTGACAGTACTCCTACTAACGTAGCCGAGAAAGCTGTTAGCCTTCTTAGCAACAAGCAGGCACGGCTGGTGAACTCAGACTGGTGGGGCAGTGGAGCATCCCATGGGAGTGTGGGGGGGAGGGGTTGTAGAGGGCTGGCAGCAGGGAGTGGGGCACGGTGGGGTTTGCAGTCTCCTCACTCCTGGCCGGAGTGCCCGGCTGGCTGCAAACCTTCCCTGCTCCCATGGGATGCTCCACCCCTGCACCAGTCTGAGTTCACCAGCCGTGCCTGGCAATGAGGGCACACTGTTGACTCATATCCAGCTTATTGTCCACTGTAAGCCCCCAGGTCCTTTTCTGCAGAGCTGCTTCTTAGCCAGTTTGTCCCAAGCCTGTAGTAGTGCACGCGATTCTTCTGTCCTAAGTGCAGGACTTTGTACTTGTCCTTGTTGAACCTCATGATGTTTCTTTTGTCCCAGTCCTCCAACTTGTCTAGGTCACTCTGAATCCTAGCCTTACCCTCCAAGTATATCTACTACACCCCCCAGCTTGGTATCATCCATGATCTTCCTGTGGGAGCATTGCATCCCATCTTCCAAGTTGTTGATGAAGATATTGAACAAAACCAGTCCCAGGACCAAGCCTTGGGGCATTCCACTTGATACTGGCTGTCAACTAGACATCGAGCCATTGACTACTACCTGTTGAGCCTGATGATCCAACCAGCTTTCTATCCACTTTATAGTCCATTCATCCAACCCATACTTCTTTAACCTCCTGGCAAGAATGCTGTGGGAGACCATATCAAAAGCCTTGCTAAAGTCAAAGTATATCACACCCCTCATCCACAGAGCCAGTCATTTCCATCGTAGAAGGCAATCAGGTTGGTCAGGCAGACTTGCGCTTGGTGAATCCATGCTAACTTCCTGATCATTTTCTTCTCTAGAAGAGGGTATAGCTACCTCCATTTTCTTTGAGCTGCCTATCTCCTGCTCGCCGGGTTTCATTCAGTGCAGCTACATTGATGTTGTATTGCCTGAATTCTTGGGCCACAACTGCAGCTCGGTGCTCTGGGCATTTGCTATTAGGGTTGGCCATGAGTGTCTTGATGTTCCAGGTCCCAAAAACGATGGTGTGTCTTTGCTGGTGTTTTCAACCACAGTAAAGATGATCCCACCGGATGTGGTCATCCAGTCAGGAAGAAATATAGAATACTGTATTAGGCATGTTATGTTGAGGGCACCTTTTCTAGCCCCCTCCCCATGTGGGGAGAGCAGAGCAGAGCAGATCCTGAAGACAGCTGCCTCAGTCACAGTTACAGCTGTCAAATCACACTCCTGTCTTGTCCAAGTGCTAGAAAACCATTTTGAAACTGCTGCCTTCATGCCAGTTCATAATTAGAAGCTTCTAAACCTCACAATCCTGCTTCCGTCACCATTAGGTGGTTGCCAAAGCACTTGAGGAATGTGCTGGAAAAGACATTTTCATGGAAGATACCTGTGCATGACTTCTTTTACTATGGAGAGGCTGTTGTACATCAGCTTCCGCACAGCTCTTGACAAAATGAGACTGATCCAATGGCAAGGAGACCAAGACAACTGGGGATCTGGTTCCCTTGAAGCTTTCATCTGCCTTTACAGACATTGAGATGATAACATCTACTTTGGTCTGCTCTGCCATTGAGGACTTGTAGTCCCATGTTTGGGTCTGGGCAGGCTTATAGTGGTGACCTGTACTCACCATGTCACAGCACTGTCAAAGGATCTATGTGGCTTTTCAGGAGAGAAAGCATTCCAGCATATACACACATTTTAAGAATGGATTAAAAAATTCTGCTTTCAAATTTCATGTTTATGTCCACAAATAAATCATCACATTGCAATTTTAGAATTGCACATGCAGTTCAAACAGCCAGTTTTGCAAACTTTATATATTTTTGTTTATAGTTTTTCTTTTCCATAACATTGTTGATATTGTGTACAGCTCCCTTAGGAATGTAGCTTCCACTGATTTTCAAAACTGCTGCATATGGTACATGGACTGCAAATCCTAGTGCAACAGTTCCCAAACTCTGACAGATTGTGCACCACCAATTTAAAATGATACAACCTTAAGTACTACCAGCAAATTCTTGTCATATAAGGTAATTATAATAAATCTGTTAATGCGTACCACTGCCAGGTTGTCTGCGTATCACTGGTGGTACCCGTACCACAGATTGGGAACTGCTGTCCTAGTGCTTTGTTAACCATCTGTGATGTTTTTGGTAAATAAAAGAATGTAAGGAATGCATCTTTAAGGTGGAACTTCCTTAGAGGTGGCTATCTGTACTTAAACTATTTGAAAAATCAAAAGAAAAAAGATTAGGGATAAAAAAATCAATTACCTTATGGTATGCTTTAATTACCTGTTTCTGTTGATTATACATTATTTGCATTAGTCTCAATTCTTAGTCAAAATGGCTTTTGGCATTCTTAAGCAATGAAAAGAAAAGTTATTATCGTACTGAATACCACCCCTTTCCATCTGGGGCCAATTCTACAAATTTCTTCTACTGAGTAGTACATTATTCACTTAGCTAGTCTCACTGACCTTCTTATCGGAGGGCTATTTTAATTACTTTGTTATGGTGAAACCTGTGAACAATGCTGGTCCCACTGATCCAGCAAGCAAATTACAAGTTGCATTGGTTGGGTACTCTATATTTCTGCTATCTAAATGATGGGAACCTGAGCATCTTTTTGCTTTTGATCGTGTGCATGGCTAAATCCCATGCACACTTCTCCTCACATATATACACTAAAACTAGAGAGGTAACAAAAAAAATAATTTCTTTAGGTGGCCAGGTTCTGGCTTATCTTTATATGCTAGAGAGTAATGAAGTAGTTTTCTAGTTCTAACATTCACAGTATTGTGTGGACATCATTGCAGTAACAGACATTTGCCTATATTGTTAGGGTACCCATGTTTTAAAATGCTTTAATTTTGTTATTATTAGGAACACCAGGAGAAAAAGGTGTGCAAGGTGTTGCAGGTTCACCAGGTAGGCCAGGGTTCCCAGGAGTGAAAGGTGAAAAAGGAGACAAGGGCCACGCTGGTTTTCCAGGGATTGGCATTCCGGGGACTCCTGGTGAGAAGGTATTTATAATCCTGAATAATAAAATGCTTCATTTCTGTAGCTACCTGTTTCTAAAAGATGAATTTGGGCATAGTCTATTCCTGTAGTAGTGTTTGGAGACTGTATATTAGATTTTGAGAACCTCAATTAAGAGAGTAATGGGGGGCCATATAAGTAGTATGCATGGATGGAATTCATGCCCCCCCCCCCAATTATTTCTTCTTTGGGTTCACAAAACTTTCTCAAAGTGTACCTTAAAGTCACCCTTGAATTTCTGTGGAAAAAATTATAAAGGTAAACTCTTATTTAATAGCAAATGGAGATGTGAAAGAATTCTGTAGATTACAACAACCTGAATTTTAAATATTACAGGACAACAATAAACATACTTTGAGGCTAACTTGCCAAAAACGTGCTGGTAGAACAAATCAATAAATGGCTCCCAACAAAGTTCCTGTTCTCTGAGTACTGCATACTTTGAATGAATGAAGACAGTCATTAGAAAAATCAGTGTTTATGAGACTTCATTGAATTTAATGTTATAGGAACAAGAGGATGAGATTCTTTGTTTTCCTGATAGATAAAATGGGGGGAAATTCTCTTAAGATTGCCAGTTATGAAATATCTTCTTATAAGTAAGTGGAGTTTGTGGTGTGCTCTTTTTCTCCTAGGGAGAACAAGGGAGAACAGGTGGTCCAGGCATACCTGGGACAAAAGGTGAAAAAGGTAGTGGTGGAATGCCAGGACTGCCTGGTACCCCTGGTCCAAAAGGATCACCTGGTGTTGTAGGATATCCAGGCAAGTGGGCTTTCTCCTAAAATAACAATAACAATAACAATAATAATGTAAAACTGATAGCAAAAGTTGCAGTCAATAATTCAAATACTTTTGCTTTTTCAGGTAGCCCAGGTAGCCATGGGGAGAAGGGTGAAAAAGGACTCCCTGGCTTGCATGGCATCTCAGGCTTCAAAGGACAGCAAGGTAGGAGGTGGAGGGGAGAAACCATCTTTTTTTTTTAAAGTTTCATCTCTGAAAACTGACTCAGATTGTCATTATAAGCTCTGTATTTATTTTGCCAAAAAGATCCTTGGTTACATTTGTTTATTTTGCAAGTGAAAAGTCAGAGACTTTTTGCAGGCTGAAATAGAGTAATTTGAATCCAGAGTTAATAACTCTGCAGAGCTGTTGATACAACCATTGTTCTCATCTTTCTCCAGGACCATCTGCAACTACAATAATGAGTTTTATCTGTGCCTAGAGCATTTAAAACCCTTAATGTAGCACCTGCGTGAATGCATGTCCATTCCATTCCATGTTGATTTTATGTTGGGTTAATTGTAGTATAAAATTATCAGTATAATATTATCCTATACTAAAACTAGTATTGTGGAATGGAGGTGAGTATGTGAATTGTTGTGGCCCTGCACATTTCAGTAAGACACAGACATCTTGGTTTAAATGGGAGATACTGTGGACTGATTCCCATACTCTAACTTTAATAAGGTACAGAATTAGTGGCTTTGAAATAAACTCCCTAGACTGATTATTCTATCAAAGTAGTGTAAGTAAGGAATCATGCCACTGCAGTTATACCACTGTATCACCAGTATATGGACAAAGTAGAATCACAACCAGTGTGTAAATCTCATTTGACTCTTGTGGGAGAATTATAAATGGATTTCCATTAAGAGATGTCTGTGGAAAAATTAGATGGCTCTTAGTTGTTTTATTAAATGCCAAAAATGAATGATTTTACAGGTGACCCTGGCCCACCAGGTTCTCCCGGTGATAGTGGAGAGAAAGGTGAACCAGGTTATGATGGAATCCCAGGTGTTCCTGGTATCAAGGGTGATCAAGGTAATGTATGTATGTTAGTATATATATAGTCTGTAGGACTTGTTGATTTTAGGAGTTTTTTCTGGAACCATAAAAAATTAATTTAGTATAATGTCTTGTAAACTACTGTTTGCAGCATGTTGCAATAAAGGTGATGATATAGGCAGAAAGCATCTTAGGAAAACAGTGGAAATGTTTAGAATGGCTACATTTTTTCCCATGAGAAATTTCTAACCACCAGATAATTAAGGGCGCATGATTCGGCTTGACTATAACTAATTATTTATGACGATAGATGGGCTTGATATAATCTTCAATGGAAAGAGTGAGAAGACTGTGATAGTGCTGGGCACTGGATCAAGTTCTGTATCTCCTCTTTAAATTTCTCCTTTTGCAAATAAATAATAGTACTACTTTCTCTTACAGAAGCGCCTTTCACCTGCTTATTGTTTTTGTTGCCCTTTTCTGGACTTCTTATCACAGAGAGCTGTGCATTTCTTAATCAGACAGAACTCTTTCAGGATGTCAGTGACAGTTGTACCTAGACGTGGAGTGCAGGCTCAGACTCTTAATGTCAGTTTGCCAATAGACTTCTGTATTTTTCAAATGTATGATTCCAAACAGTTGGAAATTTGAAAGAAAAGAGCTTGTGTACAGCTAGTACAGTTGGGACCAAATGGCAGATCCTTATGCATAGCCTCCTCCTGTTACTCCCACTCCCCACTGCACCTTTTCCCTCACTGCAAGGCCCTCTCCCTGCCTCATTGGGATTAGGCTGCACATTTTTTTGCAGCAAAAAGTGGACCAAATGTGTTGCTCTGGGCCACTGAGGCAACAGTCTGTAAGGTGGAAAATGGACAGCCAGTCCTAAAGGCTTAAGCCCATCGAGGGCATGTGGGGGAAGAGGGTTTCAGCCTCTGGTGATATGGTGTTTTTGTTGCTGACAAGTGTTTCCTACTCAGCCCCTGGGAGAACTACATGCTTTTGCACTTTCAACTTTTTGTATTTAATATTTGTATAATAGAGTTTTAAAGAGTAAAAAAAAAATCAAAAGACATTTGTCTGACTAAAAGATCATGTGATTTGGCTTTTTATGACTTGAAATGAGCCTTTTGAATTTTCAAGATTTTTAACCTGCTAACAACTAATTGTCCACAATGAGCAAGTGCTCATTGTGGACAATTAGTTGTTAGCAGGTTAAAAATCTTTAACCTTTGCATTTGTTCATTGTGGACAATTAGTTGTAAGCAGGTTAAAAATCTTGAAATGAATTCAATCACATGCTGAATGCGTGGTACCAACCATCACTAATTAATTTGCAGTGTTAAGAATCTTTACCAATAAGTCAATATTTTAAGTCTGCCTTTACCTCAGATGGAAGGCACTGCAGCCACTGTGATTTAGACCAGGGATGTCAAACATATGGCCTGTGCGCTGGATCCAGCCTCTAGAACAGCTCTGTGTAGCCTGCCAGGGATGTGGGATTTGTTTCCTCTGGCCATGGTCATCAGTGACAAGCTTGGCTTTGAGCTGCTGTCCTTAGACTCTTACCACAGACCCTTTCCACCACTGGTGGACCCTTATGTCTGGATCCCTCAACACTGGCAGAATCACTGCCATCACTCTAGTGAGTTTGACACCCCTGATCTAACATTGTTAATAATTTCATTGTGCATCAGTGTTAGTCTGAAAGAAAAACTGCTCTGAAGGCTCACAGTGGTTTAATGGTTTGATACATTTTGATTTTTTTCCACACAATAAGGGTGAAGTTACACATTACACTTAGGGCACTTCAAATAAGAGTATCTGCATGCTATAGTTAGTTAACACATGCTAAATGTCCTCTGACAGTCTCAAAATTATGTCACTTCAAGCAAGGGTTACCTCTGGGCCATGCTACCTAGCTCGTATTAGGGTGACTTGAGTCAGCTCCACATAAATAAAATTAGCAATTTGAAGTCCTCTAGCATCCCTGGATGCACTGCTTTCAGGCCCCCTCCCAGTCAGAGCAAGGATAGAGCCCATGTGCCCTGGCTCCTAGCCTCACCCCTCCTCTCCAGCCCTATATTGGCAAGGCAGAACTGTGCAGGCAACAAATGGTATTAACCTTTAACATGTGACTGCTCACAATGCATGCTATCTCTAACACTGCTTAAAATTCCACAGATTTAGTATGGTCTATGTGCAATGTGTAATTTCACCATAAGTCAGCTGTGAAATAGTGTAGTAGGCCTGTCTTTCCTTAAAGACAGGCCTACTACACTATTAGTAGCACCTAGCTAGAAGCCTGAGCTACTGTGCTACACAGTTAAAAATGCAGTGTCATAACAAGTTTCTGCATAAGCTCTTATTTTCAAATGCTGGCACTTTTTTTACTAATAAATTTTGATTAGTTGTAGATAGTTGCAACTACTGTCTCATCCTTTCATTTTTATTGCTTTCACTTTGTAGGTCTTCCAGGGAGAGGACTTCCAGGAAGTTCAGGTGCAAAGGGAGATAAAGGTAATATTAGTAGAAAGAAAACAAAACATTCATGCATGATTTTTATAGACTGAACTCTGTAATAATTGAAACAGATTTTTAACTCTATTTTTATACATGTACTATTCAGATCTGCCAGAAAATTCTCTGAGAGGCTTAAATACTAATTTCTATTACAGTGGCAGCATCTCAGACATGAGTTAGATATGCCTTAAAGTAGGTAATTATTTTAGTGCAAAAATTACTGCAAGATGTGTTGTGATAAGATAATACCAATAACTCCTGTGTTGTGTGGTGTGCATTAGAATTTGAAGTAATTCTGTTTCCATACTAATTTGGTAAAAATCAGTCTCCAGTGAGATTTCAGTGCACTGGGACTATCCTACACTGGAATCATTTAGTGTACTGCAATGCACATGTAGACAGTGATCGGGGCTGGCTGGGACACAAGGGTGCTGCAGTGCAGGGACTGCCTTCTGGCTAGCCCTGCACTGTAGCATCCTCGTACCCCAGCCAGTCTTTCCACAGCATACTGACCTGAAGCAGAGCAGTCCTGGGCTGCAGGCTGAACCCTCCTCCCTTCCCACCCCCCACCCCTTGGGCTCCCTGCCAGCCCAGGGCTGTGCCACCCCAGCTCAACATACTGCTGTCTCAGGTGCACATGTTAACACTGCACCCAGAAGCAATAAACTTTGGTGTGAACTGTGCCAGAGTTTATTGCTATGTGCTAATTGCACATGTAAATGCACCTGGTGATAAGCAGTTAGTGTCCAAGAGCACTTGCTTTGCTAGGAAGGTCCTGTTCTTCAGTCAGTCTGGAGATAACGTAAAAAGTGCCATAGCGGGTTAGGCCAGTATTCAGTTTCTGACAGTGTTAAGAGTGGATGCTTTAGAGAGAGAGCTCAGCACCAGGTATATGTCTAGAGTGATCTTATTCCCTGTTCGTTACCCTCCCTAGCATCCACCATCATTGGTTTAGAGATGCCAGAGAATGCTAGTGTGTTATTTCATACATTGAGGATTACCAATGAATCACAACAGAAGTAGTGTTAAAGAGAAAACAAGCCATTTCTGACAAAAGAAAATCAAGAAATTCTAATTCCAGTCTCTCCTCCTGCCAATCCATGTATAAAATATGAGTGTGTATAACTGTGAGGAGACAAACTAATTTGCAGTATAAAATACTAGCATTTTCTATTTGCTTCTTTCTTCTGTAAGTTGAAAAGAACTGCATACAATATTGTTTAAGAGCCCTGGTTCCTTATTATTGAATATCTTTTTTTCTCATTAATAGGCATGAAATGACAGGGGAAAGCAACTTTTATAAGCAAAGCTCAGTGGTGCAAATTTAACATCAGATTATTAGTGTGCTTTTCACCCCAGTCCCTCTAATTTTTGGGGCACAATTTGTGTCATTTCTGTTTGGCTACCTGATCAAAGGAAATTGATATACCTAATTGACACTATATACACCCAGAAATACTTAGTACAAATAGAGAATTCAGGCTTTAAACATCTGGCTCTGTGTGTGAAAGATGACAGGAAAACCATTTTTTACTTTTTTTGATTTTTCATACATATTTACACCAGCTAATTTATGTTGCAGTGACTGAGCCAAACCAATTCTAAAATTCTGTTTAAAGCTTATCGACTTGTAGTAGTCAATAGTCAATCCTCTGGATCATGTACACATAAGAGGTCTAGTCAGATGCCTGATGAATCTGTTTGTACAAATTGGGAAAGAAACACTAAACATTTTAAATGTAAATCTTGGTAAAGATATCCTCAGACTCAGAATTATACCTTGTTATTATTATTCAGGCGAAACATCCTCTAAGTGGAAATCAGTAGAAAGTGTGACAGGTTTTTTAGTTTATTAAAACCGAAAATTGAGGATATTTTATCAGCGCAAACCAGGATCCCTGCTGATTTAAGGACTTAAGGATTTTGCCCTTAGAAATTCTTAGGGTTAGGGGTGTATGCATAGGGGAGTTTGCATGTACAGGTGAATGCAGCAGAGGAAGAGTGATGGGAGTAGTTGGACAGTGAGTAACAACCAGTTTAACAGATAAGATCTTCTGCTGAAGCTACCCATTCCTTGTATGTCAATTCTGAAGATCCGGTAACAAATAATAGTTTCCAGAAAGAATGGTATTTCAAGATTAATGTCTAAAAGAATATCAATGCATTTTTATTAGAATAAAGCTTATTGCCAGCATATAACAGTGCAAAATGATGTGGTAATGTTTTTCCTTTTATCTGACAACTATGGGGGTTATTTTACATCTTAGGTGCAAAAGGTGATGTGGGTTTTCCAGGATCCCCAGGAAGCCCGGGGATCCCAGGCTCAAAAGGAGAACCAGGATTTGTTGGCCTACAGGGTCCTCATGGTCAACCAGGGCTTCCTGGACTCCCAGGTAGACCGATGGAAGGCCCTAAAGGAGACAGAGGACCCCAAGGCCAACCTGGACTACCAGGTATTTGTCTTTATTGCTAGTCAGCATTATTGGCATTTATCTTAAATACTTTACATTGAGGATATAATTAATATGGCTTAGGATTAACAGTCTTTATTGGATCTCTTATCTCTGTATAAATACTGTTTAATGTAAAAAGAAATATCAGCTTCTTTTTCCTAAATGGGAGTGCATGCTAGAGTAGGTTGGACTAATATTCTCTGGTAGTTTATGCCACGTTGACCTTTCTGGGGCCAAAGCACGTTACCTGCAGCTTCAGTGTGCTCCATCCTGAGTTTTACTATTGGCTTTCTGTACCCCTGGATGTAGATATCTATTGCTGATGTTGCTGTGTCCTGACCAGTGAATGTGGTTTTAAAATTGAGATCAAGGCCTTGGATTAGCAGGAGATGTTGTTTGGAAGCCATTGGAGTACAGAAATAGTTTCCTCATAGCAGGTTGTATTTTGCATTTTGCATAAGCAGGATTCTTTGCATTGCTTCCACTTTGAGCCCCAAATGCAGTGAACTGCCATAATTCAAATACAGTGTGGCTAACATGTGGATCACTGTGGCAGTCTTTACACAGTGAGCAAGTGAAACCTCCTAACTTATGTTATCAAAGGAGAAACAAGATCTGTTTTATAGGAATAGATTTTGCAGGACTCCAAGGCTTGGATTCTGCAGGACTCCATCAAAGCTTTTTGACCTGAAAATCAATCCATTTTAAAAAAAGGAGAATTCCATGTCACTAGCTATATCTTTGAAGCATTTTCATTTTTTGCCATCACTACTTTGGTTTTGTCTATCTTCACTTGAACCAACTGGTCTTCATCCAGATACTGATCACAGAGAAATGATTTTGCCAATTAAATCTTTTTCATCTCTCCATTTTAGGTGTACCCGGTCCAGTGGGATCCCCAGGACTTCCAGGACTGGAAGGTGGCAAAGGAGAAAAAGGAGCCCATGGTTGGCCTGGATCTCCTGGAAGACCTGGAATCAAAGGTGATCAGGGATTTCAAGGAATGCCTGTAAGTTACTTTAAACATATTCTCCAGCATGGCTCAAAACTGGTGCTTCCGGTTAACGAATGTATTAATCATAGGTCTTTTACTTTCAAACTAATAATACTTTTTACCCAAAATGCCTTTGGACTTATTGCTGACTTTGTAAAATCTATTCCAATATATGTTAATTCTCTGTTTTAAGGGCTGCCTACCAATAAGCCCCAGTGACTTAAAGAACTTACTAGAAATTTATAGATAGAGAATGGTAGCTTACTGTATATAATTTATAGAGTGTTAACGGAACAGAATGGCTGCAGCATATCAATAAATCCTACAAATGCATTAGTACTTAATTTTAAAGGTAGCATAGTTCAAAATAAATTGCATACTGAAAACCCTTTGGGTCTTTGGGTAAGATACGAAGCCTTTCAAATAAGTGCAAATAAAGTGCACTTTCAGTACTGTCAGTGAAATATAGCTGCTATTACAGAAAAATAAACGTGTAATGATTTTAATACATTATTGGCATGTATCACTCCCCTTTTACTATCCAAAAAATTATTTTCTTTGGACCTGTGCATTTCCATGTATAGGGGAAGAAAAGTGCAAATCTTTAAACCTGCTGGAATTTCAGTGTTATGTATCCTTTCTCATAGTATTTCTATACCCTCATTTTTTGAAGCACAGCACTATCCAGGCTTTAATTTTTTATTCTAGAAGGAAAAATGAAATGAAATAAGTCTGGATTTTGAGGCTTTTTAAATCTGGATCTTTCTTGCGTACCAGCTTTTAACATGCAGAACAACTGCATACTAGTACCAACTGTGTGAGAGAGAGGTTTTCAATACACATATTCAGGCAGATCAGCATGTGCATTCCAGCATAACCTTCCATATATTAAATGCCAAAGAGCTTTTAAGCAGAGCTCAGCCAAAATCATAATGTCTATGCTTTGGGAGATTTCATTATTTCAACATGTTTTGATTCACATTCAGGACAAAGAGTTGAAATACCCCAACATTTCATAGAACGAATAGCTCTTGAAAATTTTTTTTTAAAAATGATGAAACATTTCATTTTAGCATGTCCATTCAAAACAAAATATTTCAAAATACCTTAGTCAAAATATTTAGTTTTAGTTTGTTAAACTGTCATCAGGTCTTGAAATTTCATCATTGTTCTTGGAAGTTGGGCTTGTCTGGGATGCATTAGATAGATAAGGATGATCCTGTCCCTGGTTGGACTAGATGATATTCTGAGGTCCCTGTTTTTCTATGATTCTATAAAACATTGTGTTTAGAGTTATTTTAGTATGTTAAATGGCCTTTTTCCGTAGTGGTATTTTGCCTCATGGAAGTTTGTCAGGTTTCTGATCCCTAGCCAAAATACATCTCCCATGAAGCACCCACCAGCATGGGAATGTTCGATTACAGAGTGACTGGTGCATCATGGAAGTTGTTGAGACAGGTAACCTGGCTCACAAGAGAAATGTGAGCATCGGGCAGCTGAAATATAAGTCCCAGGAGTTAAGCAGCTCTGGTTAAACTTAATCAAGATGAAACAAAATTGTTCAATGGAATAAACTGAAGTATTTCCATTCCAAACTTCCCTCCCAGCCCCTAACATCTATGAAACTATGAAATAAACAGACTACAAACTAAATCATCCATTCAGGTTTATCAAATGGAAGCAGATAATAAAAAATATATTTTCTATTAAAAAGCTATTCTGATGGAAAATTTCCATCCCCTCTGATAATAAATCACTTGGACTTCAAATTTTATAAGACACCTGGTTTGCTTCAAAAGGTGAACTGAGACTTTTTGTCCAACAGTTGTATTCTCAAGTCAGTCCTGGCCTTCTTTTTGACGCTATTGAGGCCTTTGTATTAGCCAGGTAATATCATACGGTAGCATTTAGAATATGCAGAGAACACTCCTGTTTAAAAAATAGATCATGCATATAATATGCTGTGTGACTACAAGCAAACAGATCATTTTACCTTGGAAATATATCCCATACCCTTCCTGATATCCTTTTCCCACCTTACTGTGTCTTATCTCTTTGGAAAGTTCTTAGGAGCAGAAACTGTCTTCTTTCAGAATATATGCAAATGTTATGTAATTAAAATGGGTCATGACTGTTGTGGTGTTTAAGACATAGGTTGACAGCTTCTTGTAGGAAGAATCTCTAAGGTATCTTTAGATACTTGCTCCAGATCAGCTAGAAATGGAGACAAGAACTATCTTGTAGTGAAGTATGCTAGCAGTAACTTTGACTAAGGAGTGTTTATTATACTTTACATTTCCTGGGCCTGAGTTTCTGGGCCTTAATGTATATTAAGGGCGCTCAACCCCTGGCCTGTAGGCCAGATCTAGCTGATGGAGCAATGTAATCTGACACACAGGTCTCCCCAAAGGTCCAGAAATTTGGCAGTACTGGAATAGTGCCAATGAACACTGCTACCACTTCCCCACCACCAAATCTCCAAACTGCATGGAACTGGATCAGCCCCACCCAGGCCAATCCCACACAGAGGGTTTCAACCACTAAGCCAAGGCCCAGTCCAGCTAGATGGAAATGGCTCAGCCAGGGCCTTATGCCGCTGTGGGGCACTGCCTGAGACCTGATCCAACCATGTGAGATCTGGCCCTGGGCAGGCTCTTTTCATGTGGCCAATGGGGCTCATGGATGGGATCCAGAGGCCAATGGATGGACCAGGGACCGCTCATCTTGCCCTCTGGGCACCACTGATAATAGATCACTGTGAAGGTTGTTTAATTGATTTCAGTAGTTGATTTCCAACAGTGTATAGGACAGGAAAATTATGCTTTACATTAATTTCAGTTCACTGCTGTGGGAAAGTCCAAGTTCTCTTCAAGTGAACTTGAGGACACTGAGCACCTTTGATTACTTTCAACCTGTTGGTGCAGAGGCCTATATCTCTTTACAATCTCAGGGTTCCCTTTTTATCTACATGGACATTACTAGGGGCCAGCAACCTGAGTCTGGCCCCTAGTAGGCCCCTAGTGTCCTATTCAGAAATATTTGCACCCCAAGTGGTATTTTTTTATAGTATCTTTTCCCAGGTTCAAGACCAGGGATCAGTGGTCTATGATGATCAATGGTTGGATATGACCCGCACAGGTCTAATTCAGTGTTGAGGGGGGACGTTCCCAATTTAAAGGAGCTGCATTCAAGCTGCTATTTAAAGGGACTGTGTTAAAATGGTTACTTAAAGCTTCCTGTCTTTGCCACTGAATTTGCCATTTCAATATGGCTTTTGGCAGCACCCAGTAATCAGAGGAGAGCACAGAGCAGGGAGGGGATCAAAGCAGCAGGGAGCAGAGTATTGGTGGGGGTGGGGTATTGCCAGCCCATAGTGGCAGCTGGGTTGCAAGTGCCCAGCCTGATGCTCTAAAAGTTTGCCAAGCCTTGCACAAGACCATTTTATTAGCTACACTCACATTGAACTACCATATTCTAACCTAGTATATTTGTAGGGTAAAATATAGCATAGCCTACATAAAAAGAAGGATGCAGTGGACACTTTTCATCTGAAAAATGTAACAGAGAAGAACTATCTTGGGAGGGAATGGTTCATGAGATTTGCATAATTGCCTGCTTGAGTATTTTACACCATTCCCAAACAATGATTATTTGAGAGACATGTCACAGCATATCTAGTACTACATAATTCACATATGGTTTCTTTCCAACAGGGTAGTCCTGGTTTACCAGGCATTCTTGGTCAAAAGGGTGATATGGGACCTCAAGGTGTTCCAGGATTTCCAGGTGAGGAGAAAATGTATAATTCATCTATTATTACAAAATTCTTGTTTTCTAACTTTTTGCAAATTAGACGAAGGTCAAGCTATTTTATGAGATGAGACTTAAAAAGTTTGGCTTGTTTAATTTAGCAAAATGAAGGTTGAGAGGGAGATATGATTACTTTTTATAGATACATTTGCAGAGTTATTATCAGGGAGGGAGAAGAGCTATTTAAAGAATGATACTGGCACTAGGTCAAATGGCTAAAAAATTCTTGTGAACAAATTGAGACTGCAAATTAGAAGGAGGTTTCCAATGATTAGATGAGTGAAGTTCTGGAAGAGTCTTCCGAACAAAGTATTAGGAGCAAAATAACTTAATCATTTCAAGGTGGAGCTTGACAACTTCATGGAAGGAATTAGAGGTGCACCAATACGTCAATCCCATATTGGATCAGCACCAAAATGAGGAAAATTGACAATTGGCTTTTTTTGTCTGATGTGGCTGATAAATGCTGCGTGCTTGCACGCAGCTGGCCAGGAGCGCAGCCCAGCAGTTTGGAGCACAGCTGGGTAGGGCTGGTAAGTCTGTTGTGGGGGAAGGGGTGGAGGGAGGGAAGGGGCATGGAGGGGTAGATTGAGGCCCCCGCAGTGAGGGATGGAGGGAGTAGGAGTGGGGCTGGGGTGGGCAGGTGCTGCCCATCTAGGGTGGGGCAGGGCAGAGCACAGGACAGAGCCACGATTTATGCAGGGGGGCAGCTCCCACTGCTATGTGCAGCCTGGGAGGGCACGGGGGGGATCTGTGCATGGGGGAGGGAAGGCTGCTGCTATGGGCTGGGGCTGGGATGGCGCTGGCTCTTCCTGGCAGGGGGCTGGGCCCGACTGTGCTCAGAGCGGGCAGTGGTGGTGCTGGGAGGGGGGGTGGGGGGCTGCAGCTACCCCAAAATTCACCATAGACCCTGCTCCCAGCACTTCTGCCACATGCCCTGAGTGCAGCCCAGCCCAACCCCCTGCTGGGAAGAGCCCAGTGCAGACCCTGGCCCTAGCCCGCAGCGGCAGCTTGTCCTACCCCACGTGCAGATCTGGAGGGCAGGCCCCCCTGTGCCCTCCTGGTATGCGCGTAGCAGCAGGAGCTGCCTTCGTAGGGTCACCTAAACGTATATTAACCTAGCAATATCTCTGCCTTTGCAGTGTTAGGACATTAGCAGTGGCCTTGTTTCCCCTCCTTCTGACCAGTGGCCCACTGTAGAGGGGTTTGTTTATTTTTTAATGTGCTTTTATGACTGTAGTATGTGAGAGAGTTTAGGGTGGATGATTTTTTTAGGGACATGGATAAATGCTGCCCTGTCAGCTTAGGGAATTGGGAGGTCCATTCCAGTCCCACATTTTTATAGGCCTTTTTTTCCTTTGTTAAAGAAAGTTAATCTGTTATTCCATGGATTCTGTAACCTTAAATTCAGAGCTACTTCAGGAAGCATACAACAAAAAGAGCATCAGTTTCTCAAGATTTTTTTCCCTTTTCTGCCTTTGAAGTTTGTACAATTCATATTTTCTTTAGAAAGTCAGGGTCTAGATATTCCAAGCATAGTTTGAATTTTCTTTGAGATGTTGGAAATCAGATACTTTATTTAACGCTACTTGCAGGCTTGCATGCATCATCATCTTTAGGTGTACTTAAGTATTAAGTGTGAGAAAGTAAGCTGTCAACACAAATTTTAAATTTATCTGAATTTAGAAATCTCAAGGGAGTGCCTTCAGTCATCTTTTATCTGGCAACTGATTGCTATGTTATGGAGTCACCTCATGCACCCTGCTCCTCGGAAATCCTGAAATCAGTGGAACTACTCATATGGATAAAGTTATTAATATGCCTAACTGAACTCAGGGTATACCATTTGTTGACTGTTTAAGACACACAGGTGTAAAATAAGAAACAATTGCTTAAATGTTCATGTAAAGTTTTTCTTTGTCTCCAGGTGCAAAAGGATCTCCTGGCTTCCCAGGTCTCAAAGGAGAACATGGTGACCAGGGTCTCCCTGGATCAAAAGGTATGAAAGCCTTACATTTTTTCTGGTTTTGTTATTTTTAGAATAGTTATTTATGATCTTATATCACTTTCCCTATTTCGTAGGATGTAAAAATTGTAGCGTACAACAGCAAATTAATAGAATGGGAATATTGAATGTTCAGATTATAGAAGATGAACTATCATTAAATTTAAGATTCTTAGATCAGAGATGAAATACATCATAGAGCTCTTAAAAAACCTCTCTCTGTTTTTACAGATCTTCATACAATAAGGTCCCATCTTATAGTGCTAATGGACTAAAATTGGTAATTAGCATTTATGTTGCATAATAGTTAACACTTGCTTTTTCATTTACTTTACTAATGTTGGCAGGTTTACAAGGTCCACCTGGTCCTCCAGGTCTTTTTCAGTTGATTAAAGGGGATCAAGGCACACCTGGCCCTATGGGACCTGTTGGTCCTAAAGGATTCCCTGGCCCTCAGGGTCCAAAAGGACAGCAAGGTGAGAAGAAATGTTAGTTCCTGATATACTTTGAATAATGTGAGAATATAACACAACATGGGCATTAGAAAACTATTATGTAGCTTAAAATTCTCCAAATGTTTCTCCAGCCAGTCCTGAAGGGTGTGTATTGTATACATGTTTCAATATATTTATATGAAGAGAACTTAAACTCCAAGGAATACATTTCACCCTTGCAGTAGATGATAGTGAGATTGGTGACTATTTTGCATGTCTCAAGCTGCATTTTTTTAGCACAACCATTGGGTATAACTTGGCAAAATTAAATTGACTTAAAAAAAGACTTGGGAGGCTTAAACATTCTTTGTTATTAGGAGAACAAAGGGGCAGGACAGTCAAGGGGGTCAGGTAAGTGAAGGGTTGGCAGAAGAAGGGGAAAGTCTGTAGCATTTTGGTTACTAGATGGAGGTTAGGGAAGTACACGTGTAAATGACTGAGCATTCTGGAAAAATTCTCATTGCCAGCAATGACAGTTTGGTGCAGGTATGACTAAATTTATTTGCAATGAAGTGGTACAGTATTTAAATAAGAGTAAAATACACATGCGGTCAAAAAGTTCTTCTGAGTCTATAGAGCTCAACTAAAAAAGACACTCCAGTTTCCACAGCTTGCAGCACACAAGGAAATGATGTGGCTGGCATCACATCCAACTGCTGCTGACTTTCCAGCTTGAAGGACCAGGCACCCTTTTACAGCTGAGTCAGCTGGGTGAAGTTTGAGGTACAATTCCAAAGCAAAACTCTAACTTGCAGTCAAGAGTGATGGTGAGACACCTTAGCTGCTCTGCTATTGTGCCCCCAAATTATACACAGAAACACAGAAAAAAGAAAAATGACATAATGTGTAGAATGAAAATTAATTTGGGAGAAGCCCAGTAGGGTTGTGAATTTCCCACTACTGCTTACCCATTTATCTCTTGTTATGGCCTTTTACCTACACTCATTCAGTCATGAACTCCTCCAAATGTAGATTAAGAAGAAAGGAAAAGAGGCTTGTCTTTTCTCCTCACTGTCTATACAGATGATATGCACCTTCACTTTATGTGTTCTTTATCACCACTCCGCCTCAGGCAATCAGTCTGTCTGGTCTGGATATGTCCATTGTATCTAAATGGGATAGCATTGTCCCTTAATGCAAAAAGGAAGAAGAAATATGCTTCTGTGTTGAGGTTAAATATTTCTTATCTAATAGGAGTCACAGGATCTGCAGGTATACCTGGATCACCTGGTGTCCCAGGGTTTGATGGCAACCCTGGTCAGAAAGGGGAAACTGGTCCTTTTGGTCCTCCAGGTAGGTGCATGTATTCTTTTCCTGCTATAAAACTAGTTGGAAAAAGTGTTGAGAAGGTTTGCAGAAAAATGAAGGAGGCAATAAGAACTTTTAGGGTATATGATAGTGTTACATATAAATCAATCTAACCAAGGTTAGGTCAGTCTAAGTGCTCAGTCATGCAGGCTCTCACAGGGCTTAAATTCACATAAAGATGGTGCACATGCTCTAATTAACTCACCTCTGAGGCCTCTGCAGGACACGCTAGGAAATCTGGTCATCACACCAGACAGCAAAACTAACCTATTTAACAATTTCTTTGCCTCAATTTTTCTGAGCAGCGACCAGGTCACCTCCCCCCCCCCCCCGGGACCCCCATAGACCCTAGGGGAGGTGCACCCAGGCCTAGGGACATTGAGGATCTAGTCAGGGATCTTCTGGAGGGACTGGATGTATTTAAATCAACAGGTCCTGAGGATCTCCACCCCAGGGTGCTGAGGGAATTAGCAGAGGTCATTGCGGGACCCCTGGTACGGTTTTACGAGCACTCATGGTGCTCTGGCATGGTGCCAGAGGACTGGAAAAGGGCCCATTTTCAAAAGGAGGAAGGAGGACCCAGGAAACAATAGGCCAGTCAGTTTTGCCTTGGTCCTGGGTAAGCTTTTTGAGACAGTTATCCTGGCACATGTCTGCAAGGGGCCAGCAGGGGAGGTTATGCTTAGGGGCACAGGTTCATTAGAGGCAGGTCCTGTCAGACCAACCTAGTGGCCTTCTATGACCAGGTCACAAAATCCTTAGACACAGGGGTAGCAGTGGACGTAGTCTTTCTGGACTTTAGGAAGGCCTTTGACACTGTCTCTCACCCCATTCTCATTAAAAAACTAGGAGACTATGGTGTTGACACCTACACAGTCAAATGGGTCGCTAACTGGCTGGAGGGCCACACCCAGAGAGTGGTGGTGGATGGGTCTTATTCGACCTGGAGGGATGTGGGCAGTGGGGTCCCCCAGGGCTCGGTCCTCGGGCCCGCACTATTCAACATCTTCATCAGCGACTTGGACAGGGGTGTAAAAAGCACCCTGTTCAAATTGGCTGATGACACTAAGATGTGGGGAGAAGTGGGCATGCTAGAAGGGAGGAATAGGCTGCAATTGGACCTGGACAGGTTACAGGGGTGGGCGGATGAGAACAGGATGGGTTTTAACACTGACAAGTGCAAGGTACTGCACCTGGAGAGGAAGAACCAGCAGCATACCTACAGGCTGGGGAACTCCCTTCTCGTCAGTGCAGAGGCAGAAAAGGATCTTGGAATCATTATTGATGTCAAAATGAACATGGGCCAACAGTGTTGGGGAGCGGTCAGGAAGGCCAACCGTACCTTGTCCTGCATCCACAGATGCATCTCGAGCAGGTCCAAGGAGGTGATCCTCCCCCTCTATGAGGCACTGGTCAGGCCGCAGTTGGAGTACTGTGTCCAGTTCTGGGCGCCGCACTTCAGGAGGGATGTGGACAGCATTGAGAGGGTCCAGAGGAGGGACACTTGCATGATCAGGGGGCAGCAGGGCAGGCCCTACGAGGAGAGGCTAAGGGACCTGAACCTGTTCCTCCTCCACAAGAGAAGGCCGAGGGGGGATCTAGTGGCCATTTACAAACTAGTCAGGGGGGATCAGCAGGCACTGGGAGAGTCCCTGTTCCCCCGAGCACTACCAGGAGCGAAAAGAAATAACGGTCACAAGCTGGCAGAGGATAGATTCAGGCTAGATATCAGGAGGCACTACTTCACTGTCAGGGTGGCTAGGATCTGGAACCAGCTTCCAAGAGAAGTGATGCTGGCTCCTATCCTGGGGGTCTTTAAGAGGAGGCTGGATGAACACCTTGCCGGGGTCGTTTGACCCCAGTACTCTTTCATGCTATGGCGGGGGGGCGGACTTGATGATCTGCTCAGGCCCCTTCCAACCCTACCAACTATGAAACTATGAAACCTCAGGAGCTAACTTTAGACTGCCCTGGGTTAAACCAATCTAGGTGTTAACCTAGCCTAACACACACCTGTACATCTTCACAGCACAGCTCTGGGGTTGGGAAAGCCAAGCCAGTCACCCCAGCCCCAGGGGTGTACTTTTTTCACCTCTTGCAGACCCACCAGCCCTCCTCCTCCCAGACACGCTCGCACCTCTCCCTGGATCCACCAGCCCCTGAATCCTATTATTCCCTCCCCCTGACTTACCTCCGACTGTCCAGACAAACACCTGCTTGTAGCAGAACCTGACTCACCCTGAATTGGGTGATTTGAATGCTTGTTCACACGCTTAGATCAACGATATAGATAAAGATTGTACAAGAAGCGGAGACAATAAAAAAAAACATTCAGAGCATTTAAAAACATGAGATTATTGAAGAAATGGCTGAAGCCTCCATGAGAATTTTGGGGCAACTTGCTGACCAGAAAGGACATTAGAGAAAACATTGTGGTGTTTGCTAATCTCCTTGTAAAGGACTGACTGGTAAAGATTTCCACCAGGATTTAACAGAAGACAAGATAATCTGCTACTTTTGAGATTTCAGTGCTTCTATCAATATTTCCTGGAAAACCTAAAACCTAAGTGAGCATTTTTCTGTTATAGAAATGCATAGTTACATTGGAAAGAATCCTAAACCCTCATAAATTGTTAGCAGCAAACAAATAAATAGAGTTTTTGAATAAAAGGGGAAATTGTTACATCACCACACAGGAAGGTTATGAATGAAGTCACAATTTGGAATACTGTCCCTAGTGATGGATTTCTTGTAACAATAATATTAGAGATGGAAAGGGTACTACAGAGGCTAAGCAGAGTGATTCAGTTTTTTGTTGAATTGGCTATAAAAAAAGACAAAGACATTAAGTTTGCATTTTTGGAAAGGAAGAAACTTCATGGTTATGAAAAATGGAAAAAATAGAGACTCACTTTAAGAAATGAGGGATAGGGACTGATATTAAGGAAGGTCTAGACTCAAAGGAGTCTATGCAGAATTTCATTAGAGATTAGCAGGTGGTAGACCACATGTGGAATTTTCTGTAATGACAGGAACAGGTTAATTTGGTCTGGAGGAAGAGTTAGGTAAGTATTTGAAGGGGAAAATATGACAAATGAGAATCAGAACATTACAAAGGGTGAGACAGATATAGAACACTTACTAACTAACACCTACAGTGTGTTTCTTTTATATAAAACATCACTCGGTGAGGAAAAAAATCATGTTTGTGTTTTATTAGAAACAAAACTTGCTTTGGACAAAGGGCTTGAAAAAGCCTGCTGGTTTACATTGGTTTATTTTTCCTCAATGGCCAACTGATCCCAACAAAAAGTTACAGCTTCTAGATTAAAATTTCTGTAACTCCATAAGAAATGAGTCCAAAATAACTTTGTTCCTCTAAACCATAAGGGCTTTATGGGCCAGAGTTTCTGTAGAACAATAGAGGACATATCTGGGTGTGGGTGTCCCTGTGACAAGGATCCTGCAAGGACCATTGAGACAGCCTGAAGAACTTGCATTCTTAAGGGAAGATCCTTCGGGACAGCATGACCTCTTTTTCCAGTGCATCCAACCTATGTTGTCGGTGGGATAGAGATTAAGATTGTGTGAAATTTTGACGAGCATTTTGTTTCGAAGCTGTTTTGATGCATTTCGAGCTTGAAACTGTGAAATTGAAAGGAAACAAAAAGCTTTGAAACAGGTTTGAAAGGAAATGAGGGCACCTGAAATGTTTCAAAGCAGCCCAGTGGTGGGAGGCAGGGGTGAGCCAGGGCTGCGCTCTGAGCGGCTCCGCAGAGCCATGGAACTCAGCCTGGCAGCGGGAGGCGCAGAGCAGCCCTGGCTTTGCCCACCTCCCACCGCCGGGCTGTGCTCCGAGTGGCTCCACAGTCCCATGGAGCTCAGCCAAGTGGCGGGAGGCAGAGCGCAGCCCTGGCTCTGCCCTGCCTTCTGCCACCAGGCCAGATGACAGGCGGTTGCCGCTGTTGCCTGGGGCCAGCAGCAGCATCAGTCTTCCCAGGTACTGGGCGTGGGCTGTGCCCAGCTCTGGTCCCAGGTGACAGCGGCAGCTTCCTGTCATCTAGTGCAGATCCAGGGGCCCGCACCCCCTGGATCTGCATGCCAGATGACAGGAGGCTGCCGCTGCCAGCAAGTGTCATGAGTTTTGCTTTTTAAAGTTTTAGGTGCAGGTTCTGAGAAACCTGTATACCTATCTCCTTGAAGCTTGGCAGGCATCATGCCCTCAGAAGGGGCTATCATCCCTGCAATTTTCATGCACATCAGGCAAGAAATAACAAAGTTTTAGGTATTTTCATCATTCCCAATTTTAGCTTATGGACAAAGTGTCGAAACATGTCGAATCAGAGAAACTGTTTCAACAAAACGAAACAGGACAGCGCTTTGAAACAAAATGAAATGAAACACTGCCTCTTTGAAATGGTGAAATGGACATCAAAATGAAATGATGGTGTTTTGCGCAGCCCTAATAGAGATGAGCCAGAAACTCTCCTCCTTGGCCCTCCCTGCATCATTTTAAGTGATACTGTACACACAAATTTGAAACTTCCATGTATTATTTTGCATGTTGAAAAATACAAAGGAGGCACAATGTGTCCACATTATCATTGCAGGAAACACATTTCCTTTTTGAAACTCTTCATTTTCATAGCTCTAATACTGTATTAAACCATTTTTTTTCATTTAATATGTATTGCAATTTGCTGCAAATAATTCAGTTCCTTAATAATGATTAACAGGCAGACAGAAGTTCTCTGGCTGCCATTAATTTCAGCCTCATCTGAAGTTGGAACTTTTTTCTGTAGACATTCTGCAAAACATTTAATAAGCAGAGTACTTTGTTTTCACTTTCACTGTTTGAATTATTTTACTGTATATGTGAGAGTGTAAGGAGTTAGGGAACAAACAGTACTGAACAAAGTCCACCTAGCTCCCTTCTCTCCCCGCCTCCCCTCCCACACTTCATTCTATTTTAAGATGAAATGCCAAACATTTTGCCAAGCTTGGTTTCCTGATAGGTTTAAAATTTATCATTGAGTGTCTGCATAGTCTGCACAGCAGAGTGCAGTATCAATATAGTAGCTACATAATTTGATCACGGATATGAAATTGACTCAGGGACTAGTTAACATTTTTAGAGACAAAAAAATGTGGTAAAATGTGAATTTCTCTGTTGCAGGCCCAAGAGGATACCCAGGCCCACCAGGCCCTGATGGTTTACCTGGGGCAATGGGTTTACCAGGTGCAGCATCTGTTGCTCATGGTTTCCTTGTTACTAGACACAGTCAAACCACTGAAGAACCAGCATGTCCATTTGGAACTAAACTCATGTACTATGGTTACTCCTTGCTTTATGTACAAGGCAATGAAAGGGCACATGGTCAGGATTTGGGTAAGAGAACACAGAATGAATCATTTCAGATGTTTGCATACATTGCCAATGACTGTGCTGTACAGTTTTATTCCACTGCAAACTAAACAAATGCAGCTCCTATTAATACACTTGTATTTCAGGGACAGGATAAATGACACCATTGCATTTAGCACTCTTAGCGCTTTATACTTGTGCAGTATTATACAAATGTATATTAATACACAGAGGAAACACTGAATTTTTTTATTAGGAAGCCTCAGAAATGTAAGAATGGCCTTTTCCTTGCTTTGCCCTGATGTTTCTGAGGCATGTTATCATCAAAATTATGACATTTGAGAGCTCAGATACATACATAGAATTCCAATTGACTTTGGTGGGAAACAGGTAGAAGCCAAAAGCATACTGGGTTGTATTAACAGGAGCATCAACTGCAAATGAAGGGAAGTGATTCTGCTGCTCTATTCAGCACTGGTGAGTCCTTACCTAGAATATTGTGTCCAGTTTTGGGCCCATCACTTCAAGAAAGGTGTGGAGAGATTGGAAAGAGTCCAACAGTGATAAAAAGGAATAGAATCCCAGAAAGCATGACTTGTGAGAAAAGACTGAAAGAACTAGGGCCCAGAGAAGAGAAGACTAATGGGAGGGAGGGAGGGATTTGATAACACTCTTCAAATACCTAAAGAATGATAGAGAAGATGGAGATAGCCTAGTCTCAAGCTGCAGCTGGGGGAATTTAGGCTGGATATTAAGAAGAAATTTATGACCATGAAGGTAGTCAGGCATTGGAACAGGCAACGTAAAGAAGTTGCGGAATCATCATCCCTGAAATTTTTCAAAAGTGGATTAGACAAACACGTAATCCTTTCCAGACCTATTTCCCTATGAAAAGGATCATATTATTATGATCCTATGCTGCCCCTTAGGTCATGATCTAGAACCTAGTGGGATTTTACTTTGAGTCAGGGAATTTAATTAAGTCATGTAACGAGTTTCAGAATTAAGGGTGCAATTTAACGCCTTAAATATTACAGAATGTGACCACAGTTCATTAATTGAAATAAGCCAGATGCCACTTTTTAATAGAAAGAAGTTAACACATGAATCATTTATTTGTACCTTCAGGCACAGCAGGAAGCTGTCTTCGTAAATTTAGCACAATGCCTTTCTTATTTTGCAACATCAACAATGTATGCAACTTTGCATCAAGGAATGACTATTCCTACTGGCTGTCTACTCCTGAACCCATGCCAATGAGTATGGCTCCTATCACAGGTGACAATATCAAGCCATTCATCAGTCGGTAAGTACTGCTTCTATTGAAATTGCTGAAGACCTATTAAAAATGCAGTGACTGAAAAAATTTTCTTCAAAATATATATTAATAGAAAATGGTTTTAAAGAACTATAAAAGAAATGTCAGGAAAAATCCTTATTCAGAAAATCCTTACTCAGAATTTTCTAATTTTTTTATATAGAAATATTTAAATGGATTTTTTTTCCCTTTTTGCTGGAATTGGATGAAAATGCAAATGCTTGCTCGCTTGTTTTCTTCTAAAAACAGTAGGGCAAATCCAAACCAGAAAATATTATTTTGATACAAACTGAAATAGAAATTTTATTTAATATGTTAAAAATTCTGCATAAAAGTGAATTAAACAATAAACAGAATTTGAATTGTATTCAAAATTTATTTTACAAGTTATTCCTGTGTTTTCATCAACCAGATAGCTTTTCAAGGTTCAGTATGTTTTCCTGTTTGAATTGTTCCATGTCAGCTTTATTTGTCAAGCCATGTGCTTCCACACTTTGTTCAGTACTTTGAATATTGCTTTGATGCTTCAATATAACCATTGTTGTCTGCTGTAAAGCACACTATATTGCAGAGGTACCCAGTTGCAGTATATATACTAATCATCTACTTCTTGTAGAGATAGACTATCAGCTGTCAAAAATAGATATCATGCCATTGAAAATAATTGACATAGGTTAACACCATCAGAGGATTTGGCCCTACATTTTTTAATCATTTCCTCTGTTCCTTCTATACTTAATTTCTCTCTCTCGTAAAATGCTAACAAACTATGGGCCAGTTCTTTTAAATGTATGTGACAGTATAACTTCCCCAGACAAGCTGTATAGCTGGACCCTGCTTATATGTACTAGTTCTTTATTTAATTCTATTTTTGGTGCCTATTTTAGTGAGCATCAAAATGTAGGTGCACCCAATATTTTCAAACATATATCATGATTCTGGCTGCTTGTGTTTCGGAGATGCTTTAAAGCAGCATGATTTTTCAGAAAGGCCTGAATGCCTGTCTTCTGAAGGCTAAGCCACTTAAAATGTTGTCAGTCAGGCACCCAAAATCACCCTGGCTAACTTTAGAAATCTTGACCTTAAAAGCCAGTATTGAATATTTGCTTTAAATTATCCACTGCCTTCTGCGTATGGAGCACCTTCCTTAGATGCTATGCAGTGTTGTTGCATAGCATCACTGGACCCTGGATACTAAAGGATCAAAGTAGGAATAGCACAGGATGAGATGATTCTAATGTGCTCTTTTATGTCTGCACATGCTGAGTGTAATTTCAAAGCAGAAGGCTTTGTGTTCTTTCAGTTTCTTTTTTTTAAGACTGTTAAAACACCAATATCCTGTATCCAGAAATTGAAAAGATGTAGAAGTGTCACTTGCCCATCTAGATTCAAGGGACTTTTTTGTTCTGAGGTCCTTCACTGATGCATCAGAAATCTTTTGAAGTAATACAGAGACAACTTTTACATTTTTCTGTTTCTCCCCCTACTTCTCTTCCTTTGTGGTGTTTCCTAAAATAAAAGTCCATAACTACCTTGCCGTTTCTTAAAATAACCATACAGCCTTTGTGCTTGAGTTGAAGGCAGCATACATATCCATGTGAGACAGAAGACATTCACCCTGAATATCTTTGCTTTTGTGGATTTATCAGAATCTAACTTAATCCTTGTTGCACTCACCCACTTTACCAGTCTGATGATAAAATCTAGTTACTCACTTTTTTAGTTGCCTTGAACCAAGAGGTCAGTGCTTAATACAAGGAGCTATTTTAGGATTGTACAAGCAAGGAACTGGTTGTCCTAATCCAATGCCAAATATATCGACCCACTGAATTGTAATTGCAATCACAACTGCCATTTATTATTACCTTTTTGGCACTTTAAGAAAAAGAGAGAGACAGAGACAACCGGCCCCCAAAGAATGACTAGACTTTTTGTTTACTTTATGTCCCAGTAGTTAAGAAATACAATATTCTTACCAGACTTAAAAGGATAATTGTTTGCAAATATCTCTGAAGGTTTGTATTTCAAGTCCAGTGCTCTAGTTGGTTGGCTAGCTGTCGTTTACTCAGAGATAAGGACCACAGACTTAAACAAAAGGCACTTGTGCAGGGAATGCATACAAAAGATTCTCTTTATATCTTTGATTGGTTTCCAAAATAAGTTTTAGTTCCTGCAAGAGTGCTGGTATACTCTTTAGAAGTTGCATCAGGTCAATGTGTCACTGTTATTTGGTCCTGTCTTAAACAGACTTTCTTGTCATGATTGCTTGAGGACTTTCGTGTTTGATCATTTCACCGCCTGGGTGAAACAACAATATAGTACAAATGCTGCCTTTGAAAAATATAATTATAGAGAAAAATGGGATACTTAAACTTACGTAAATAATCAGTTTATACTTTTTGGGTGAAGACAGTAAAAATAATGAAACTTGGGTATTCAACTGTCCCTAATTAATAGGGGAAAAATGACTGGATTGCTGGTATTCCTGTTGAAATAGTCTGCTTTGGTTCTGTTATTTGACATATTGTGATACTAAATTTCTTGTTGCAATAATTCTTGAAAGGAGACACAAAGAGTTACTATCAAAGTACATAGAGTTTCTTTATGTCCCATTCTTCATAGATGCTCTGTATGCGAGGCTCCTGCCATGGTAATAGCGGTTCACAGTCAAACAGTTCAAATACCATTATGCCCTGAAGGCTGGAGTTCACTTTGGATTGGTTACTCCTTTGTAATGGTAAGTGTACTGTGATATAACCTGGGTTGTTTGATAGATTTATTGCATTTGTAAAGATATGGCTATCCAGGCCACTTCAGAGAAATGAGGCGGTGGAATAGGTCTGTGCTTTTTCTGGTGACTTTAAAAGGATGTTTATTACTTAGTTGCTATGTTAGAATAATTTAGTAATAATTCTTGCTGTAATTCCTTGCCAAGTAGTTTGCCTCATGAAACTTACCATTCTTACATCATTCATAGGTTTAGTACAGATACAAAGGACCAAATGAACATGGTGACTACATGCCTTACAATTACTTCACTGTATCCAGGCTGTAGCACTTTCCTAGAGCAATATAAACCTAATGCTTGGACTATTCCTCCTTTCTTTATGAAAGGACCTGTTTTAAAATATAATTTTAACCTTGGGTCCAATCTCTGTTGTTCTATGGCACCAAATACTGTATTGGGTTTGATTGCAGCTCAGTCTGGCATACTTGAGCTAGCTTCAATCTAGCTAGCTCAGATACTGGTAGTAGTCATGGAGCTCACTGAGAGCTGGAAAGGTCACCTGGGAGCTTGAGTAAAAACTGAGGAAGCTAGGCTATGCTGCGTGCTGTACTGCTCAGCCCAGCCTAGCACTGGTACTAGTTACCAGTACCTTAGTTAGCTAGTAGAGCTGTGCAAAGCTTTGGTCCCTGATTCGATTCGGCCGTACTCAGTGGCTGAATCTCCAAATCCGAATTGAATCAGGAGACCCTTTAATCTCTGTGAATCAAATCGGAGCCCTCCAAATCCAATCAAATACGGCCCGTTTTGCACACCCCTACTAGCTAGCGTCAAACTAGGCCAGCACTGGTTGCAATGACACTTTTGACTGACATGCTCCCTTTCTTATGGACATCTCTGTGGACCCTAGCTTACTGCACTTTCCCTGATTGCCTTCAACTTCATGCTCCTTCCAAGGCCCAAGATACCCTGCCCTTGTTATCCCATTCATAGATTCCTCCCAACCTTCCTAGAATCCCTTCTCCCCACATCGGTGAAATATTTTTTCAGAGCAGGAAAAAAGAAAGCAGGACATTCTCTCCCACTTCACAGAAAAGATGGAAGGAAATACACTACTATAATTAAAGAATTAACTATTTCTAATCTAGTTGCATTTTTTGCATTTCCTCAGCATACCAGCGCTGGTGCCGAGGGCTCTGGGCAGGCTCTGGCGTCTCCAGGTTCTTGTTTAGAGGAGTTCCGCAGTGCTCCTTTTATAGAATGCCATGGTCGGGGAACTTGTAACTACTACGCAAATGCTTACAGCTTCTGGCTTGCCACTATAGAGAGAAACGAGATGTTCAGGTAAGTTATGGCTGATTTTTCCTTTAAAAAAATCAATATTTGTGGTTCGGTGCACATTTGTAAGAGCAACAATCTGAGATTAGTTTCAGAATAATAAGAGCAGTGTTCTAGAGCAGTGGTTCTCAACCTTCTTAGACTCAAGTGCCCCCTCAGAAAATGCCAGCTCTTTGCTTTTGTTTGTTTCTTGACTAGAAATATAATAGAGCAATTCTTCTGCTGAAAAGAACTGAGAGAGGCCACAGCAGTCCAGAAATGTTTTTAACACTACTGTTCCTATTTGAAATCTCCAGGTTTATCTTGTTTGCACACCTAACGGTGCTAATATTGTGTGGCACCCCACAGCACCCTTGAAAGAATCTCAAGGTGCCCCAGTGTGCCATGGCACCATGGTGGAGAATCATTGTCCTATAGTTTAATAATAATAGTCCAATTATTGGCTGAAGTCCATCTGGATGTATTCAGTTATCATTTTTATAACAATGATATCACAAAATATCTTTGAGGGGGAATAGTATATTTTGCAGTATCTACAGCATGTAATGCTTGCAGTATTTCTTTCAGAAATATCTAAGAGTGTTCCTGTTTCCACTCCACCTGACTTTCACTTGTGTGACCTCAGTCATTGTTGGCATAGATTGATGTCCTGATTAAAATTAACTTAGAGCACACCTCATTGGTATATATTATCACTTAAGTTAGGGCAGATATTAGCACATATTAGAACAACTACAAATTAGAACAAATATTAAATTTTGTTTAAAGACAGGGAACTTTAAGAGCTTGAACAATTATTTACTGTCCACCCGTGCAAAGAATGACTTCGCTGGAGGAAGTCTCTTGCTGTATAATGCTCCAGTAATTGAGAGAGGGTAGGGTTTCTTAGGATGATACCTTTTACTGGATTGACTATGTAGTTGGGGATAAACCTGGATCAGGAATAAACAGAAATGCTGCTGTCAGTAGTTCCCACAGTAGGCAGCTATTATGGTGCCTCACTGCTAGGTAGTTAAGAATTCATAACCTGTTTGTCAATAGCAAACAGCAACTCCAGAGGCAGATGTAACTTGTATTATTAGTATTTTACCTTTGATTCTTTAAAGCAGGGGTGGGCAAAATATGGCCTAGGGGCTGGCCAGGCCGTTCTATCCAGCCCGCAGGGCCCGTAAAAAATTTAGAAAATTAATATTCATCTGCCCTGGGCTGCCTGTCATGCGGTCCTCGATGGCTTGCCAAAACTCAGTAAGCGGCCTTCTGCCCAAAATAATTGCCCGCCCCTGCTTTAAAGGGTAATTTTCTACCAGGTTGGTTAAAGCTTTCTCAGTTTAGGGATTTCTGTCATCTGTCTGCTACTTTTTCATACAGGTATTATGCTGAGTACGCTAGTGTAAATGGGTCATCTGTCCAAGCCCTGAGTGAAAATTCACCCTTTTGCAAAGGAGCCTGTTCACAATGTCAGTGCCATTTAGGTTCCAAATGGGGTGAGGAGCACAAGCCTTGTGCAACCCTTCCTCCATCATGTATGAATAAATATCTCAGCACAATTCACGGTTTGACCCACACAGACCTTAATAATTCAAGTATACAGAATAAATATATGTCCCCAAGTTTTCTTTAAGCAACTCCTTAGATTTGAAGAGCAGACAAAACTAATATTCCATGCTAGGGTAAAAATTGATCCTTAATAAAGACTAAGCCTATTCAGAAGAAAATATAGAAAAGCCAGCAGTCGCGCTTGTATCCATGGTGTCTCACACAGAGCTTCATTCATATGCCTGGTTTATGGTTGGTTTCTCCTTCTACTAAATCAGTACAGCACTGACTAAGGGACCAGCCCTACGACTCTGACTCACCTCCAGGCATTACTAAACTAAAAGGATGTAACTGATTTGAAAAAAATGCACATCTGTTTCAAAATATTTTACCTCTGTTTTTTATGAGTACCTCCTTGCAGCTAAGCTTACTATAGAGACCAAAAAACCCTGGATCCCAAAATATCATTTATCTGACTTCACTTGTTGCATTGTCATTTAAGTGAGTGTTTCACACAGGACCAGTGAAGGGAGAAGCATCTTAAAAATAATAAAGTGTTTCTTGTAGAACCAGAAATGTTAATAGGGGGACCCGTGGGAAGTCTGTTACCTTAAATTACTTGTAATATTAAAAAAAGACAAAAAAAAAAGCCAAGCAATCAAAAACTAAGAAGAAAAAAAAATATCCTGCCAACAGTTTATATATTTCTAAGACTACAGATTAAATAAGTAGTATTTCCCAGTTTAAGAAAAAAACTCATTAGACAACTCTGAACCAGTTGGAAATCACCAATTATTATAACTGATTTTCCAGCGGAAGTGGTCAGATGTCTGAAGTGAGCCAGCCACTTGAAAGTGAAGGTGTTGAGGGGATAGAAATAAGAGTATTTAACTCAGCTGCTGGTTTCTTGATACAAACTTAGCCACCATCTTGCGATATTGCCTCCTTCACAATAAGCCTGCAAAGTGGTGTTTTGGTACTACCCATCACTGAGAGTTCTTTTCTTTTTTCACTAGGAAACCTGCTCCTTCAACTCTGAAAGCGGGGGACCTACTCTCAAACATTAGCCGATGTCAAGTCTGTATGAGGAAAACATAATGACTAGAATTTCAATTAATTTCACACAACATGGTGCTATTTGTTTAACAGCAATGAAGCCTAGACATGTATCATATGTACCTCATTGTTGTCCCATATGAAAACAGTAAAGTGCCTTTTAGGAACTTGCATAACTAACACACACTGCTTTACTGGCCCTGTACTCGCTGAAGAAGAAAAGAGACAAGAAAGATAAGCTTCAAATGTTGACATGCCAAATGGCACTTTTGATCAAATAAATTTTTTATATAAATGTTGTGCACTGATAGTATAAAATGCCAGAGTTCATCCAGAAAAACACAAAGGTGCTAGGAGGTATGCAGTTCAGTTTTATACTGTTTGACTCCCTTTCTAATTCTTGTATTATATAGCTCAGTTTTTCTTCCCCAGATACACTTCTTGTTACCAATGTCTAACTGTCCCAAAATTTCAGATTCTTGGGCATGTATGTATTGTTCCTGTACAAAGTAATACTGATGTAAAGAAGAGTTTTGGGATTACAGGCTATGGGTAAGCAGCAAGTATCCATGTTTTCAAAACAAAGGGTGCCATTTTTCTGTTTGTATTTCCTACCCCTACCTTTGTCCTGCTGTGTTAAGTGGGGCTACAGGTAAAAGGAATGATTTGCCAAACTGAGTCTGTAAATGGGCAATTAAGTGTTTCTGCTATGTTTGGTACTATGCAGTTTCTTCATGTGGCAGTAAGTAGAACAAACTCCTGTGGAATAAAGAATGGTCCAATAGTGGGTCAGAAAAAAATATAAATATATATATATTAGTAATTTATATAGATGTCAACAATTAGGCAAATCAAGCTTTGTTTGTTATAATTTGAAAAAGAAGCTTACGTAAGTTTTCCTCTTTTTTAGTGTCAGTGTTAAATGTCAACATATCTAAAGTGAAATATCTTTGTCACATAGCTCTTTGCAGTACCGAAGTCTGTAAATTGCAGAGAATGAACACAGGTTAATAGCTATTTGTGTTTATTTTAGTAAGCCATGCTTTAAGCTTACAATGTTTATTCGGTATTTCAAATATTCAGGGTTTTAAACGCTAATCACACTGAATGACTTGATCTTGGAAATTTTAAAAGGCCTTACTTTTGTTAATATTGTTTAAAAAATCCTATTCAAAGTGGTCTAAGAAATAGGTCTATTGAATTTCTATGAAAATATAGGGAGGTTTCAGCACATCTGTGTCTAAGATTTTTTATAGAACATGATCATGCAGATACCAAAATGCCAAGGCCTTTTATGTAATTTCTTTAATGTGTATTTCGTAAGAATTCAAGTTTGTAATAAAACTATTTGTGTAAAAAAAAGTTTTACCTATTTGTTACTAGTGCTTATCCAGCAACGAAAGCATTATTTCTTTCTCAGTCACTAATAAATGCATGAGCTTGATACAATCCCAGATCATTTTTGTTTTGCATCTCATGCAGGTGTCGGCAGTATCTTGATATGAGGAACTACAGATGCAGCATTGGCCATGTCAACTGTTAACTTTTCAAGGGATTGTCATCTTATTTTAAGTAGGCAAAAATAGATCTTGATTTAAAATTTCAGGTTTATATTTTTGTCCCACTCTTACAAAGAGTGATTATAGAAAGTAATATCTGGTGAATCTGAATGGAAACTGCCCGCTTGCTTCAGGAGCAATGGAAGTTTTGCCAGACTCTCATTTCCCTTATAAATACCACCAAACAGCACACACAGTTCTCACACCACTGTATTTTCTTGGAGACCCCCTTGGAGACCAAATAGGAAACTCGCTTTGTTTTTGGAGGCAGAATGTAGAAAAAGAATTTTTTTTTTCCAGAGTCCAGTGAAGTCCTGGAAACATAGTGTCCAGAAAGTATGGCATCACAGGAGACACTGTGGGTGAGCCAGCAGGAGCTTTGTGCTGTGGTAGGAAAGCAACAAGGCTAAGTCCCAGCCCCTTGCAAAGTAATAGGAATTAGGGTTACCATACATCCAGGTTTTCCCAGGCATGTCCTCTTTTTGGCTCTTCTCATCTCCATCCGGGCAGTTTCTTAAAATATCTGCAAATGTCCGGGATTTTGTTTTGCCTCTGCTTTCCCAGCAATTCCCAGTTTACCCCAGCAAGAAGCTGCTTGTGGTTGGCTGGGGAGAGCAGGGGAAGGCAATTGGAGGCCAAGGCATCACGTGCCTCTGTACGTGCCCTGACAGCTGCACATGAGTGAGTGAGTGAGTGAGTGTATCAGCATGCAAGGGGGGTGGGTGCCTACTGGCACTGGAGCTGCTGCAAGGTGGGGAGGTGGGGGAAGAGGGTCAGGGGGTTCTTCGGGGCAGCAGGGATCTGTGTGGGCAAAGGGGCACTGGCAGGGCAGGGTGGGGGCTGTGGCTTGGGAGTGACAGGCACCAATGGGGGCAGGGGGCTGTGGTTGGGAGCACAGGACACAGGCAGGGCCAGGGAGCTGTGGGTCTGGAGTGAAAGGTATCAGCAGGGACAGGGGGGTTGCAGGTTGGGAGTGAGGGGCAGGGGCAAGGCATGGGCATATCACTGCCCTCTGCCGCAATCATATACCCGCCCCCAATAGGTGCCCTCTTTTATTAAATGGAAATATGATAACCCTCCTACAGGCTGCACGAGGCAGCTCACGTGCTCTGAGCCAGCTCATTGTAACTGTGTTACCAGCAGTTGTGAAAGGGTTAACACTGCTCCAGCTTGCTGCCTCAAGGGAAAATGGTAGTTAATTTTTCAGGCATTTTAGCCTGAAAATTCCTCTATGCCTCCCAGCTTCTGATCCAGTGAAAAAAACAAACAGGTTCTTCACTTTAAGACATACACTCCGTATACCCCCGGCTTCTGGCTGGGGTCATCTGAGCCCAGCACCCTTTCCTGCCCAGGCAGGAGGTCGGACTCGATGATCTGTTGAGGTCCCTTCTGACCCTAGCATCTATGAATCTCTGAATTCGGCGGTTTGATTTTAGGGGGAAAGGTGCATGTGGCAAGTAAATATGGTATGCTGCAGAGAGTATGTATATTATTAACCTGATCTATGTTTTCCCGAAGTGCTATATTATGTACTGTCTGAATAAAATGAGAGAAGGCAGTAAGGTGATGGACTAAGTGGACAAATTGTCCATTTATTTATTCCTTGTAGTACCTGTCTGTAAGGAAAACAAAGCAGAAGTTCAGATTTCTTTTTCAGAGTCTGGGTATAGAGGCTGGTTGGTCAGGCTTTTAAATTATACTTAGTAGCTTATCTAAGAATTAATTTTGCTTGGCTTTGGTTGTTCTAAACAAGCATACACCTGGATATTTTTAACTGTTTATGTGGTAAAATCTTTTACATGAGTAAACATATCCCTTTTTGCCTATGGAGAGCAATTTGAAAGGAAGGTCCTTTTAAATTAAAGTTTTAGGAAAATGATTAAATTACAGTTCCATATTTTATATTTCTACGCATTATTATTTATTCAGTCATTCACATCTGGTAAAACACTCCAGCCCTTGGTTTTGCCCCAAATGCTGTTTGTACCAAGGCCAATAGGTATAGGAGTTAGTGGCTGCAAGCCAGGCATAGTGGGTAAGAGGTCTGGAACTCTATATTTTGATACCCTGTCTGAAGATGAGCAGCTGCATATATGCTAAGACAAGGCAAAAAGTGCTGTCTTTTCAGTAACACATCAGAAAAATATGATATGTAGTAGCCACATATTCAAGCACTCATGTTCACCATTATTGCTACAACCCTATTGACTTTGTGAACAGGGAAGCATCAGCAGAAAAAATGTTCAAATATAGTTGTCTTCCCTGAATCTGAATTGCAGGATATTGTTTTCTTAATAAAAATGTGGCTTGTTTTGTTCACCTGGCATTCAGAGTAGGCAGTACTTGAAGAACAACCTCCATGCTCTCAATAAATATATTTTTGAAACTGCAGATGGCACACTTGCTTACTGTATGTGATACAGTAAGAAGACTAGTGCTTACATTTTGAGCTAACAAATGCTCTTTTCTTGCCCTAGACTCTAATCCACTAAAATGTTAAACAGGGTTGCAGTTATCTATTCGTATTCCCAAGCCTCTGTCTTAATTCTGACATTTCCTAATCACTAGATATTTTCCTTTTTCAAATAGCAAATGAAATGCTTTTCCACATAAACAGGTCACAAGTTTAGGTTCTTATACTACTGTGCAAAAATTCAATGCAATTAAAATATTCCAAAATTGATTTTGATCTAAATCTCAATGGTTTTACCAAGAATATTTTAGTCTATGTATTTTTTTTAATCATTTGTGAGAGTTCAGCTTCAAATTATGCAGTTTATCATTTGGTAAAATGATAAATGTATTTTCATACCAAACAGTCCTGGAGAGCCAATATTTATTTTGTAGGCTGCCTGAAAAATGATTGGCTGAACATGGGTTTTCTCTTTTAAAATAAGCATCTTACCAGTTGTGTGATTTTCTGAAAAAACTTCTTTATTAACTTTTATATTTTACGGATTCTGCTAAATCCAGAATTAACGTACAGGTTGTTAGTGTCTATAAAACACATAGTCATAGGGACCTAGACAAACTTGAAAAAAGTGGCATTTCACAGAATCCAAAAAATGAAAAAATCTCAGCATTCAGATGTTGCTATATGTGTCTGCTCTCCCTCTACCTAGCATCCTGGAAAAGAAATTGAGCTGTGATTTATGATATGTGTACCTTGAAAACTCACAAGGACGTACTATCATGACACCTTTTCTCAGATTGCAGTAGGTTTTGCTTTCTCTTTGTTATTTACATTTGTGTCAATCTTGTGTCAGGTGTTATATTTCCACTTACTGTACAGAAAAGTATCAAAGTAAAGCCCCATGGCCCAAGGAGTTTAGATTCTTAATTAGATAACATAAGAAAAAAGAAAGATTAGCATTGATTTTTAAATGAATCTTTAAATCAGATGCATACTAATAGCAGTGTTCTGATGTTCTGCCATCACAGTACATAGATTTCATAGACATTAGGGCTGGAAGGGACCTTGGAAGATCATCGAGGCCAGCCCCCTGCCCCAGGGGCAGGAAGTCAGCTGGAATCAAAGAATCTCAGCAAAATAAACGTCCAAATGTCTCTTAAAAGAATCCAGAGTAGGTGCTTGCACCACCTCTGGAGGCAGTCTGTTCCAGGCCTCAGGCGTTCGGACAGTAAAGAAGTTCTTCCTTATGTCCAGCCTGAAATGGTCTTGGAGGAATTTGTGACCATATGAACTTGTTGTCCCTTGGGGCACTCTGATGAACAGGCGTTCCCCCAGATCCTGATGTACATCCCTTATATACTTATAGGCAGCCACCAGGTCCTCCTGAGCCTGTGCTTTTCCACGCTGAAGAGTCCTATGGCTCTTAGCCTCTCATCATTTCTGCCCTCTGATCATGCGTGTGGCTCTCCTCTGGACTCTCTCAAGCTTCTCCATATCCTTTTTAAATTGGGAAGCCCAGAATTGGATGCAGTACTCTAGCTGCGGCCTCACCAAGGCTAAGTACAGCAGGAGGATGACATCCTGGGATTTGCTTGAGAAGCATCTATGGATGCAAGCCAGAGTTTTGCTCGGTTTACCAGCTGTGACATCGCATTGGTGGCTCATATTCATCTTGTGGTCAATCATGACCCCCAAGTCCCTTTCAGCCATGGTGCTAGCACGCGTAGCACTGCCAAGCCGATAAGCACGCTGTGGGCTTTTTCCCCAAGGTGGAGTACCTTACATTTGTTCATGTTGAACACCATCAAGTTTTCATCCGCTCACTTTCTGAGCCTGTCTAGGTCAGCCTGGATCACCATCCTATCCTTAGTGTAGACGATTTACCCCAAAGTTTGGTGTTGTTGGCGAACTTGGCCAGTCCACTTCTGATACCAATGTCTACATCATTAATAAAGACATTAAAGAGAACAGTTGCAAGGACGGAGCCTTGGGGGACCCCACTGGTCATGGCTCACCACGATGATTTACTTCCATCAATTACCACTCTCTGGATCCAACCTCAAAGCCAATTCCCTAGCCATCGGACTGTGATGTAGCCGAAGCCACAGTTGGCCAATTTTTCCATGAGGAGATCATGGGACACCAGATCAAAGACTTTTTAAAATCAATATATATGACATCAATCTCTTTGCCCTTGTCCAAGTGATAGGTCACCTGGTCATAGAAGGAGATGAGATTGGTCAGGCAAGACCTACCTGCAACAAACCCATGCTGGCTCTCCCTCAGGATGTTGCCATCAGCCAGTTTGTCAAGAATGGTCTCTCTGATAATATTTTCCAAGATCTTCCCTGGGATAGAGGTCAGGCTGTTAGGCCTATAGTTACCCGGAT